CCTGTCGCACGACACTCTTCTGTGGCACCACCGCCTTGGTCACCCCTCCCTGCCTCGCCTTCGTAGCATGCACTCTCGCTACCTGGTCTCTGCCTGCCCTCCCTCCCTCGCCTGCGCCGCCCTGCATTCCTTGTGTCGAGGGGCGGCAGCGCGCCGCTCCTCACTCCTCCTCGTTTCCTCCCACAGAGGCTCCCCTGCAGACCCTCCACATGGACGTGTGGGGCCCAGCCCGCGTCCGTGGACAGGGCCACGAGCGGTACTTCCTGCTGGTCGTCGACGACTACACGCGTTACACCACGGTCTTCCCCTTGCGCAGCAAGGGGGAGGTCCCTGATGTTTTGATCCCCTGGATCCGCGCTGTTCGTCTCCAGCTCCGCGAGCGGTTCCAGTCGGACTTTCCTGTCCTGCGTCTGCACTCTGACAGAGGTGGTGAGTTCTCCTCAGACCTCTTGGCAGCCTTCTGTGCGGAGCACGGCATCCGCCAGACGTTCACGCTTCCGGCCTCTCCGCAGCAGAATGGGGTTGCTGAGCGCCGCATTGGCTTAGTCATGGAGGTCGCTCGTACCTCCATGATCCATGCGGCTGCCCCCCATTTTCTGTGGCCGTTTGCGGTCCGGTACGCCGCGCATCAGCTCAACCTCTGGCCCCGTGTCTCCTTGCCGGAGACCTCGCCCACACTGCTGTGGACGGGGAAGGTTGGCGATGCGTCGCGTTTCCGGGTCTGGGGTGCTCGTGCCTTTGTCCGCGATACCACCGCGGACAAACTCTCCGCTCGCGTCATTCCCTGCGTCTTCCTTGGCTTTGTTCCTGACGCACCTGGCTGGCAGTTTTACGACCCAGCCTCGCGCCGTGTCTTTCCGTCTCAGGACGTCACCTTTGACGAGTCCGTCCCCTTTTACCGTCTCTTTCCCTACCGCACTGCCCCTCGCCCCCCCCCCCGCCGCTCTTTCTCGCCCCAGGTCCTCCCCAGGTAGACCCCCTCCCCGCGCCAGGTCCTGCTCCTTCAGGTGTTACTCAGGTAGACCCTCCCGTGCCTGCGCCTGTTGAGGTCACTGGTGACTCAGGTCCTACTGGGGGTGGTGCTGTCTTTAGGGGTGCTGAGCCTGGGGGTGCGGAGCTTGGGGGTGCTGAGCTTGGGGGTGCGGAGCTTGGGGGTGCTGAGCCTGGGGGTGCGGAGCTTGAGGGTGCTGAGCCGGGGGGTGCGGAGTCTCGGGGTGCTGAGCCTGAGCGTGAGGAGCCTGGAGGTCCTGAGCCTGGGGGTGCTGAGTCTGGGGGTGCGACGCCTGAGGGTTCTGGAGTAGCCGCCTTCGTACGCGTGTGCCTCTCACCTCACAGCAGCTGCACGACTGGTACGGTCGCCGTCAGGGTCGTGCTTCTGGAGCTCGGGGCTCTGCCGCTGGAGGTACTTCTGCTGACACCACTGGAGCTGGGAGTGGTGCTGGTCCCGGAGGTGCTCGCACTGGAGGTGCTGGAGCTGCTGGGGCTGGAGGTACTGCTGAGCCTGAGGGTGCTACTGCTGGAGACCCTGGGTCTGGGGGTGCTGTTGCTGGAGACACGGAGGCTGGAGACCCTGGGACTGGAGGTGCCAGTTCTGGGGGTGCTGCTGAGGGTACTGGAGCTGCTGGAGGTGCTGGAGCTGCTGAGGGTGCTGGAGCTGCTGAGGGTGCTGGAGCTGCTGGAGGTGCTGGAGCTGCTGAGGGTGCTGGAGCTGCTGCGGGTGCTGGAGCTGCTGGTGCTGGTGGCACTGCACAGCCGCGCCTGTTCTTTGCTCCACCGTCTCCGTCGTCTCTGCCACCGCTTGACTCCGTACTTCGCCAGGTTCTTAGCCTCCCGTCGTCTACTGGTCTTCCGTTACAGCCTGCCTCACCTCTGCCTGCTCCTTCTCCTTACGCTGAGCAGACAGGGGGCTTTACTGAGCGTCGTGAGCCTGCGTCGCGTCCTGTCTCACCTGTCCGTTCTGGTCGTTCCAGTCGTCGTGTTCCTCGTCAGCGTCCGCCGGCTGTCCCCGGTCCTTCCCTTGTAGTCCGTCGTCCTTCCTCTCCTCCGCAGCGTGTTCCTCTGCCGTCCCCTCCGGAGTCTTCTCTGCCTGTTGTTCCAGACCCTGAGTCTGACCGGTTTCGTGCTGAGCACCCTACTGTCACGCGTCTGCTAGCCACTGTTGTCACTGACCCGTCGTTTGAGTCTGCTGCTGCGTCTGCCTTAGTCGCTGAGCTTGTTGACTTTGCTGATGCCTGTCGTCTAGACTACGCTGCTAGTCTTGTTGCTGAGTCTGAGTCTGTCTGTCCTCCGTCCGTCGGGGGTGAGTGTGCTCTTGGCACGGACGTCCTTGAGGACAGGCACGAGGACCTTGAGTGTTTTGCAGCCGCTGCGCCTCATCTTGTGTCCATGCTGCTTGCCCCTGAGGGAGACCGGGATGCACCAGACATCCCGACCCCGCGCTCTTACGCTGAGGCGATCGCGGGTGAGTACTCCTCTCAGTGGAAGACAGCCATGGATGCAGAGATGGCATCCTGGAAGTCCACAGGCACCTACGTCTACGAGGTTCCCCCTCCTAGGGCGAACATTGTTAGTGGCATGTGGATTTTCAGGGTGAAGCGGCCGCCAGGTTCTCCGCCTGTCTTCAAGGCTCGTTACGTTGCTCGAGGTTTCAGTCAGCGAGAGGGGGTTGACTTCTTCCAGACCTTCTCCCCCACCCCGAAGATGACCACTCTTCGGGTGCTGCTGCACGTTGCCGCTCAGCGTGACTACGAGCTTCACTCTCTTGACTTCAGCACAGCTTTCTTACAGGGCAGCCTGCACGAGGAGATCTGGCTGCGCCGCCCACCTGGCTTCACTGGGTCGTTCCCTCCTGGTACCCAGTGGAGCCTCCGGCAGCCGGTCTACGGTCTCCGCCAGGCGCCACGTGAGTGGCACAACACATTGAGGACGACACTTGCGGCTCTTGGGTTTGCTCCTTCGACTGCTGACCCGTCGCTGTTTTTGCGCACCGACACTTCGCTGCCGCTGTTCTACATCCTCGTGTGCGTCGACGACTTGGTCTTTGCCACTGCTGACACGGAGGCTCTCGCCCTGGTGAAGTCGGAGCTGCAGAAGAGACACACGTGCACAGACCTGGGTGAGCTGCGCAGTTACCTTGGCTTGCAGATCACCCGGGACAGAGCACGCCGCACCATCACTCTGACTCAGTCACACATGGTGCAGCAGGTCCTTCAGCGCTTCGGCTTCACCTGGTCCTCGGCACAGGCCACTCCGCTGGCTACAGGTCACTCGCTCTCAGCTCCACCTTCGGACGAGTCCGTAGAGCCGAGTGGTCCTTACCCAGAGCTAGTTGGCTGCCTCATGTACCTGATGACCTGCACTCGTCCTGACCTTGCGTACCCTCTTGGCCTTCTGGCTCGCTACGTGGCTCCTGGTCGGCACCGAAAGGTGCACATGGATGCTGCTAAGAGGGTACTACGCTACTTGTGCAGTACATCGGGCATGGGGCTCGTGCTTGGAGGACGGGGCGACGTTGTCCTCACTGGTCACTCGGACGCTTCGTGGGTTGACGACCAGGCTACGCAGCGGTCGTCACAGGGTTACACCTTCAGTCTTGGCTCTGGCTCTTTTTCTTGGCGGTCTACGCGCTCGTCTTCAGTTCTCAGCTCCAGTTGTGAGGCTGAGATCTACGCCACAGCCATGGCTGCACAGGAGTTACGCTGGCTCACCTACCTGCTGACCGACTTGGGAGAGAGGCCTCGTTCTCCTCCAGTGCTGTACGTCGACAACAAGGCCGCCATTGCCTTGTGTCAGGAGCACAGACTGGAGCACAGAACGAAACACATCGTTCTGCGTTACTTCATTGCTCGAGAGCTACAGCAGCGTGGTCAGCTTCGTCTTGCTTACGTGGCCACTCGGGCCAACACTGCTGATATATTCACCAAGGCACTTTCGCCTGGTGATCATCAGCGTTTTTGTACTTTGTTAGGCCTTGTGCCCACGTTTCCTCACTTGCTGTAGGCTTTGTTTGTACTGTGATCTATATATATACCTGCATGCTTGCTCTGGTAGGTAGAGATCACTGTGCTGTTGTTGTTACGTATATATCTCTGCATGTGAACTGGCCCTGTGGCCTTTTGCTTGTGCTCAGACTGCGTGGTGACGTTGTGATCCACCCTGAGCTTGCTTTGCACTTCCTGCCTGGTCTTGTGACCCTCTGTTCTCCCCCACTTTGCCTATGGGGGTGTGTCAAACATATGTTTATATGTTGTAGTTTAGGTAGGCTTTAGTGGGGTACTCACTGTGGGGTACAACCCCTTAGGCTTTTCCTCTTGTACCAAAACTCTCGATAGTCGAAATCACCTTGCCTAAGCTTTGACAGGAGCTTGCAAAATCGTAGACTATGAGGATTCCAGACGAGCATACGATTTGTATTGCTCTGGCTGGACGGACACTCCAATGTTCGATTTGGCGTGGCTTTGGGTTTGTTTGCGCGGGAACGTGATGAAAGTGATCCCTCCCGAAATGTGGTCGGTTGAGGCACCAAACCGTGTTGCCGCGTGGCGCCCTTGTAATCTGGTTGTTTGATCGTGCACCTGGTGGCGCGTGACGATGTGTAAAAGCGGGGCCAGGTCACCACCGTGGGCCGGTTATGGTGTCGGCTGTCTTGCACGAACAGCCGTGTAGGCGTCTTTTGAATTCGAGCCCAGGTGAGTCAGCACGTTCTGGCGATTGAGTTCGAGGGTTTTCATTCGTGCGCGACTTGGTTTGTTTCCTGACAAGAGCTGGTTTACAACGTGCACTACGCGGATTTTACAATGTGATAACAGGCTGGCCTGATAGGGGCCCGTAGGAACACGCTCTTATTGATCAGTACTCTGGTAAATTTAACACAACACAGTTACACAGGGTACAAGTTCAGCATGTGACAACTCTGACTTATGAGGGTCTTGAAATGTTTTCAACAGGAAAAGAGGGTATAAACTGAATCAGACACAAAAGTTTCACGTACCATATTCAAACTACTCAATGCTTGGAATGTGAGACCCCGTCTTGTTGGGAATGGATAGCAGCCTGGTTCGGGACAATCAAATCGGTTAAGATGGGAAAAAAGTTAAAGAGTATGTATAGCTAGTCTAGTAAAATACTTATATTTAACAGTGGCAGAGGCAAGGCAAATTCAGGAAAGGGAACGCAAAAAGCCTGACGGACCTGTTTACACCTACATTAAGGACTCCTTAATCAAAAAGGGTTCCGTGAAATAAGAGGACTCACCTGTTTGCGACTTTGAAGTGCAGATTCCCGTTTGTATCTTGTACCTTCTTCGCTTCGCTTAACGAGAACATCTTCTCCTTCATTACAAGCACAGTCTCGTACGGTAAGCAGTACTGCGACCCCACGACCGCATACGGTTGCGACGGAACTTGTGCTTGAGGCGCAACGTAAGGAGGCGGAGGAGCAGCACCGTGAGCCGGCTGCTGGTGATAAGACGCTCCCGCTTGAGGCGCCGCGGGATAATGGCCGGGATAAGCGCCGTAGTGCATGCTCGTCATAGTTGCAAACGCACCCGTTTAAAATGATTCGAGCGAGACGATACGGCTTGTTTCAGGATGCTCGGCGCTCAGAATGCTTCCAGTGGTAGATAATTTCCGTGGAACAGGAACGTATGAAAGGTATGCGGTAAAGGTCTGATATAAATGTGAAGCCAGAAGTTTTTGCGATAAGAGCCAGCAAAGTATCACTGTTCGATGCCGATGAAACAGCCATATCCAGACAATTTATACGATCAAGACGAACAAACGGCGTGGGAGACGGCGTATGCAGCAATCGTGAGCTAATTTCCCGCAGCGCGGTCCGATCCATGGATTAGTGTGCTGGTGAGTGGGTGCTGTTCTGTGCCGTGCAGGGAAGAGTTGGGCTGAATCCACGATCGACCAAAATGTAGTTGGGAGGAAGCAGGTGAGTCGTGTGAGGCAAGGGATGCAGACGAAGGCCCGGCGATGAGTTTGCGATGCGTGCGAACTTGGTGCGACTGAATCTTGAAGGAGGGAAACGGGTGGGGTGAAGTTGGGAAGGTAGGAAATGCGGAAAGCTCGAGAGGGAGGGGGAGGAGAAAGGGTAGTTAAAAAGCGGTGCAGAGCGTTTATAATTGGTGAGGGAAGCTGGAGCAGATGCGAAAATGCGTGGCGACACGGGTGACGGGTGCGATTGGGAGTTGATAAAGGTGGGGGGGTCGGTTCCGGTTCGGGGCGTGGGGTGAGGCGGGGGAGAGACGGAACTGGGAGAGCGAGGAAACCGTCACTGTCAATACCCGGTAAGAGTTCGAATCATGTCCGTATAACTGCTTATCTATAACTTGACAACAGTAGAATAATTGCTTTCCACATGACAAGCGAATGTCTCTCAAACCAGACTAATGAAATATTGTCCATGTACGGTAAGCAAGAACTTGGCCAACGTAATTTGATAACCTACCAAGCCAAATTCTATAGCAGTGGCCAATTAGCAGGCCAATGCAAAAACAAACCAAATGCACCTGCTCGTCAACAATATCACTAAATAAACCGTAATTTACCAATCTTCCTCTTCAAGTATCAATTGTCCAGTTCCTCCAGCCCCCCACCTGCCGTTTCCCTCCCCCTCCCTCCCCACCGCCAACCCCTTTCCTCCTCCCTCTCCCTCCACTCGTCCCTCCCCGCTTCCCCTTCCTTCCACCTGCCACCTCAACAGCCTTTCCCTTGCTCGAGCCACCCGCGCTGCCACTCTGCTGGGAGTCCCCTTCGCTCTGCTCGTGGTTGGAGCTCCTCAGGAACATGCGAGGGATTGTCATTACCCTCTTGTCCGAACCCAAGGAGGAAACTTCCACCGACCCCTCCGCTCCTCTCCCTCTCCCTCCTCTCCCTACTTGTTTGCCTCCCTCGTTCGTTTCTGCTCCTCTCCCTCCACTCCCGCTTCCTTGCTCCTCCTCTTCTTCTGCCTCCTCCTCCTCCTCTTTCGCTCCCTCCACTCCCATTCCACTTGCATCTCCCTCCACTACCCCATTCCCCTCCCCTTTCAAATGCCCCTGCTCCCGACCCTGACATTCCGAACCTACACCTGCGTGCCCTTCCGAGCCTAGCCCGCCGACTATCTCCGTTTCGCCGGACCTAGCAGGCCCCATCCACTCGCCCCACGTGCCATTGCTCATGCCCGGGCCACTGCTGCCAATCCAAAATGCAGCACCAAGTGCACCACTCCCTACCACACAAGGCACACCAACACCACTCCCTACCACACAAGGCACACCAACACCACTCCCTACCACACAAGGCACACCAACACCACTCCCTACCACACAATGCACACCAACACCACTCCCTACCACACAAGGCACACCAACACCACTCCCTACCGCACCAGGCACACCAGCACCACAATCCCCTGCAGCACCAGGCACAACCCCACAGCCCCCTGCAGCACTAGCCATTGCCCCAGCTACATCCACACAACTGCCTACAACCACACCTTCCCCTTCCCCTTCCCTACGCCCGCCCATGCCTGCTTCACTCCCACACGCTGTGGCTGGCCCTGCTGTGCTCGTATCCCCCCTTTCAGCTGGAACAGCAACATTGGCAGACGCCAGGGGTGGTGTGCTGTTGGCAACAGCGCCTGCAGTGGTGGGAACAGCACAAGGATAACTTAAAGGCAATGCTTGACATCCCTCACGATTCTCCCCTCTATCTCCCCCTCTTTCTCCCTCCCTATCGTCCCCCCTTTCCATCGTGCCCTGCTGTCCCACACACTCCTTCTGCCCATCCCCACCCTGTTCGCCTGACAGGGCGAGCATCAGAAGATCCAACGGTGAAGAATCTTTCCCCTCACTGCCACTACCACTGCCAATACCTCTGTCACCACCGCCATTGTTGTTCTCCTTGCCCTCACCACCGCTGTTGCTATCCTTGCCACACTGTCCGCCTCCATTCAGTTCTGCTGACTCTGTCGCTGCGCCCCTGTGCTCTGCAGCAACCCCTTGCTGCCGTGGCACCTCCTGCTGTTGCAGCTGCTGCTGCTGCTGCTGCTGCTGCTGCTGCTGCTGCTGCTGCTGCTGCTGCTGCTGCTGCTGCTGCTGCTGCTGCTGCTGCTGCTGCTGTTGCAGCTGCTGCTGCTGCTGCTGCTGTTGCAGCTGCTGCTGCTGGTGCTGAAACCCCTGCTGTTGCTGTTCTTGCAACCGTTGCTTCAGCTCCCGCTGTTGCTCCTCGTCTCCCACATGCCCCCCCGGACCACCCACCTCCTCGGCCTCTATTTGTGTTTCCTGAATCGCCTCCTCTGACTCCCCCCCACTCTGCTCCCCGCCATTCTCCCCCATCTCCCCCATCGCCCCAATCTCCCGCATTTGCCCCATCCCGCCTATCCCCTCTTCCCCCTCCCCCTCTCCCAAATCCACTGGCTGAGTGGATTCAAAGCACCCCACAGGCTCTTGAGATGGGGGCAGGGAAGGCAGAGAGGAGGGCAAATGCTCTATAGGCGGAAGCTCCTGACTTAGAAAGATGGGGGTGGACGGCAGAGGCAGATCCTGGCTTGTAGGGATCGACCACGGCTCCTTAAGCGAGTCTCTTAGCGGCTCATTGAGCGAGTCTTTTAGCGCATCGCTCACAGCAGCAGCAGTGATTTTCACAGCAGCAATGGTTGCAGCGCCACCCCTAACATCACCCCTGCCACCAGCAGGGGGGGAGAATCTCCTAGGGGCAGGCTTCCACAAACTCTTACCTCCCCCTGTACCCTCCACCCCTCCTACTCTTCCATCCCCATCGCTAATCCCTGCACTGGTGTGTGTGGCCCTACCACCACCCACGCCAGTACAGCCTACCCCAGATGTACCTCCCTCTGCACAGCCCGCCTCCATGTTCCCTGAGCTTGCAGCACTGGCTGCCACGTCAGCAGACGAGGGCACTCGAGGTGTGGCCGGCGCTGCTACAGCCGCTGCATCGGCTGTAGCTGCATCAGGTACAGCCGCACCGGTGGCTACAATCCCTCCAGCAGACCCTGCTACAGTCGCTCCTGCTATAATCCCATCTTCTGCAGTCCCACACTCGGCTTTCTTGGGAGAGCCATCAGTGTGCTCGTCTGTAGGCGTGGAGAGAAATCGGAAGGGGTAATCATCTGGGGTACCCTGGGAAAACAGGGCGCCTTGGGAAAAGAGAGCGTTCTGGGAGAGAACAGGCAACCCTTCCATCCCATCATGCAGGGAACCATGCCCTTTGTGGCCCTCGTCCCCCCTCTCTCCCTGCTGCGCCTGCGGCTCTGTCGCTGCTGCTGTCGCTGCCGTCGCCGCCGCTGCTGCTGCTGCTGCGACTGATGCTTGTTGTTGTTGGTTCTCATGCTGCTGTTGGTGAAAATGCAGCTCCTGCTGCTGATTCTGTAGCTGCTGCTGCTGTAGCTGCTGCTGGAAATGCTCTTGCTGCTGCCGCTGGCCCTCACCTTCTTGGAGCCCCACTCTGTGCCTCTGAGTTGCTTCCTCCAGAGTCATCGCCTCGCTGCCTGTCTCCCACTTCCCTGCCGCCCCATTCTCTTCCTGAGACCCCATCACGTGCACCTGCCCAGCCCCCATCCCATGCACCTGCCCCAGCCCATTCCCATGCACCTGCCCCAGCCCGTTCACATGCACCTGCCCTGCATCCACCTCCCCCAGAAGCCCTCTGGTCGTCCTTATTGCAGCATCGTTCACCATCCCGTTATCTCTGGTTTGCCCTGCCTGTTGCTCCTGCTGCAGCGACGGCGGCAGCGGCTGCTGCTGCAACTGCGGATATGCCCCCGCCTGTCTATGCTGCTCACTTTCCCCTGTCTGCTGCTGTGGCTGCTGCTGCTGCTGCTGCTGCTGCTGCTGTTGCTGCTGCTGTTGCTGCTGCTGTGGCTGTTGCTGCAGGTAATGCCCGGTCTCATTAGCCTGTTGGCACCCTCCCCCCTGCTGCCGCTGTTGCCTCTGAGCCAGGTATTGCCTTAATGCAGTTGCAGGGAGGCTGGTAGTAGCAGCAGATGGCATGGCAGGTGGAACTTCTTGTATCGAAGCCTGTGGGGGGAGGAAAAGAGGCTGGTGGGGGAGAGGATACAGGAGAGAGAGAGGGGAAGGAAAATTCAACGAAAAATAGTGGGGAGAAACGCTGAGAAAGCACAGAATGCTGGTGTGAAGCTTGGAAAGCGGGATGGGGGAAAGAGCAGAGACACGGGTTCAACTAAATATAGAAATGTTGATGATCGTAATAACAATTGGTTATCACAATGACTATCACTATCATCATTGGATCACTATTATTAGTAAGAACGCTACTCACTCACCTCCTGTGAGTATGGGTGTGAGCCGATGTCCGAGGCACTGTCTCCCAGCGACTGCTCATACGCTCTCAGGTCGCTCACTCCTGCGGCTTCACTGCGCACTCCCCCTGCGGCTGTAGCAGCTTCAGTTCCAGGGGAAGTTGTAGCAGCATGGTTACCCTGCTGCTGCTGCTGCTGCTGCAGTTGGCACGAAACTAGCCTCCCTGCTTCTCCACCCCAGCCAGGCGGCTTTAAGGGCATAAGACCCGAGGCAGAGTGTGCCGACGGAGGGGTGATGGGAAGCGGCATGGCAGTGCTGTTTGGAGTGACAGGCTCAGCAGCACCGCCACCACCAGCAGCAGCGCCAGCAGCAGCAGGATTGGTGTCAAGGGGTTTGAAACCACCAAGCCCCACCCGTCTCTGTGTGTTAGGAGGAGGAGAAAGGAACATTGCCCCAGCGCTGCCACTGCCATGCCCACTGCCGCTGCTGTTGCTGGTGATGCTGGTGATTTCACCTGCTGTTGCACCACCAGTACTAGCACGAACAGAACCACCGCCACCACCACCAGCAGCACCAGCGCCAGCACCAGCCGGAACACCACCTTTCCTACTGAACGGAGTGAATCCTACACCAGGAACGCCAGTGTTTGGTGGTCCTGCCATGCCTAATAAAGCCCCCTCCTGGACCCCACAAGGGGGTCCTTGGTTGTGGAAGGAGAGCAGACGGGCAGGCCCTGCTGCTGCACCTGCTGCCCCTGCTGGCGCTGTGTCTGCTGCTATCATCGAATCAGCACCTGAAACACCGGAAAAGCCACCTGAAATAGCACATGAGGCAGCAGCACCTGCTGCTGTGGGAATAGGAGAAGCTGCAGGGAGGAACGGCGGTGGTGCGTGGTGCCCTGGTGGCAAAAACGCCGCACCAAAAGAGGCAGCAGGGGCTGACGTGGGTGATGGTTGTGATGCTTGAAACGCACCCTTTGCTGCCAGCACTCCCCCTTTTGCTGTCCTACCTCCTCTAGAACCCCCCCGACCACCCTGGCTTACTCCCCTGCCTCCCCGCCCTCCCCTTCCTCGCCTTCCTGCTGCTACAGCCGCTACAGCCGAACCTACTCCTGCTGCAGCCGATCCTCCTGCCGCTACAAACGCACCTCCTGCTGCCCCTGATACCAATCCCCCTGCTCTCCCTGCCACCCCTGCTCTAGGTGTAACCGCCATACCCCCATCCCCATCCCCATCCTCGTCATTAACATCCTCGATATCATCCACTGCCTCCTCCTCCTCCGCCTCCTCCTCCTCTCCCCCTGCGCCCTCCCCTTCCCCTACTGCTTCAATGTCCTCCCTCCCCTCGCCCCCACACTCCTCCTCGTCTGCCCCTTGGCCGAGGGGGGGCAGAGACCCCTCCCTGCTGCCTGCCCGCGTGCCTGAACTCTGCCTCTGCTGAATCTGCGGGTAGGGAAAGGATGGGGAGAGGGGAGAGGAGTGGAGGGGAGTGGAAGGAGTGAAGACACAGCAGACAGAATCATGCAGGGGGCAGTGACCCCTCCCTGCTGCCTGCTCGCGTGCCAGAACTCTGCCTCTGCTGAATCTGAGAGTGTGGCAAGGAAGGGGAGAGGGGCGAGGAGTGGAGAGGAGTAAAGAGGAGTGGGGAACATAATGTCAAGCAATGTCGAAGAGAGTTAATAACCCCTCCCGTCGCCCTCGCACTCCTCGTCTGCCCCTTGACCAAGCGGGGGCAATGACCCCTCCCTGCTGCCTGCCCGCGTGCCTGAACTCTGCCTCTGCTGAATCTGCAGATTTGGAGAAGGGAGAGGAGAGGAGAGGAGATGAGATGAGAGGAGTAGGGAGGAGATGAGAGGAGAAGAGAGGAGGCACAACACACAATGTCAAACAAGGCGGGCAGAGACCCCTCCCTGCTGCCTGTCCGCGTGCCTGAACTCTGTCTCTGCTGAATCTGCGGATTGGGGAAACGGAAGGAACCACACAGTGTCAAGCGAGAGATCAACACAGCAAAGATTAGCTGAGATCAGCCAGTCAGAGACCAGAGAGTTAAAAAAGAGACAGCTCCGTGCTGGCTGCTTGTTCGCCTGAACTCGTCCTATTGCCCTGCCCACCTCTCATATAGCACTATAAAGCACCAGGACCCTTGCCTGTTATGAGAATTCTGGCCCTTACCTGGTAGAACACCTTTGAAACCACCCATTCGCCCTCCTACTCCTCGCCCTGCTCCCTCACGTGGTAGTACTGGTGCATGATCCAGTTCGTCTTCCTGTCCTTCCCCCCCCTCCACTCACCCTCCTGCAAGGCTTTCCAGGTAACATAATTCCAGGACCCTGACAGACCCCCTCCCTTACCTGGAAGAACACCTTGGACACCACCCACTCGCCCTCCTTCTCCTCGCCCTGCTCCCCCACGTGGTACTGGTGCATGATCCAATTCGTCTTCCTGACCTTCCCACCCCACCATGCACTTCCATCCAAGCAACACTGTCACAGCAACCTGAGGACCCCCCTCATTTACCTGGAAGAACACCTTGGACACCACCCACTCGCCCTCCTTCTCCTCGCCCTGCTCCCCCACGTGGTACTGGTGCATGATCCAGTTCGTCTTCCTGTCCTTCCCGCTGCCCCCTGCAGGGCTCCCCTTCTCCTCCGCCCCCCGCCTCTTGCCCCTCTGTGCCCGCGTTTCATACAGCACCAGAATCTTTTTCCACCCGATCTGAGGGGGAGCGAGGGAAGAGGGGAAGGAAGAAGCAAGGATAGTCAACTGAGCGGTCTCATCAGAACCCTTTTTCTCCCCGGCTCTTGCCCCTTGGCGCCCGCGTCTACAGCACCAGAATCTTCTTGCACCCGATCAAAGGGCTTAACAGGGTTGAAAACGGCCCGGAGTGGGGAAGTGCGGGGGCAAGGGCGGGAGGGCGGGCGGCTGCAAAACCTTGTTGCCCCTCTCTGCGCCCGCGTCTCATTCTCATAAGTCTGACACAAACCCAGAATCGCTCCTCCTGATGTAGTCTTTGTGTGAGGGAACGGTGGGATGAGGAGGGGCACGCTGCCCGTACCTGTTTCCTGTTACGAGCAAACACGGGGCGAGTCTTCCCTGTCTTGTGTGCCACCTATACCCGCACTCCTCACGCCCTGCACCCATCCCCTCCCCCCCCCTCTCTCTTCGCGGTGGCAGGCAACAGGGTGGCAGTGGAGGGGCGACCAGAGAAGAACTTGCGAGGAGTGTAGGGTAGGGGAGGCAAGTCCCGTACCTGTTTCCTGTTACGAGCAAACACGGGGCGAGTCTTGCCCGTCTTGTGCCACCTGTACCTGCACTCCTCTCGTCCTCCACCCGCGTCCGCCTTCCCTCCCCTTTTTACCCTCTCTCCCCCAATAGCAGGCTCCAGATGACAGAGCAGGCCCAGAAGAACTTGCACAGAGGAGTGAATTGGTGGAGAGGGGGAGTCTCGTACCTGCTTTCTGTTACGAGCAAACACGGGGCGAGTCTTGCCCGTCTTGTGCCACCTGTACCCGCACTCCTCTCGTCCTCCACCTGCGTCCGCCCCTCCGACAGTGCCGGGCGGCAAAGTAGCAGCAGAGGGGCGGTCGGAGAAGATCTTTCGTCTCTTGCGCAGCCCCATGGCGTAGGCACGCGATGGGCGGTGGAAGTAGTGCCGAGTGGTGCCGTCCGTTACAATGCCTGCAGGAGGAGAGAGAGATAGTGGAAAAAGGGAACGCGTTGTAATTCAAGTTGACTCGCAATACGAGTTGTCTCGCTTGCGCAGCCCCATGGCGTAGGCGCGCGATGGGCGGTGGAAGTAGTGCGGTGTTGCCTGTTACCATGCCTGCACTGCACAGAGAGAGGGAGCGACGGAAATGGGTAGTGATTGGCTTTTTTGTATAATAAAAAAGCATCTCTGCTGAAAGTAGTGCCTTGTGCAGCCCATCACGACACCTGAACGAGGAGAGAAGAGAAAATAAAGAAATTTGGAGGGGAGGAGAAGGTTTTTTAGTGGACTGAAAGGCATTCCTGGAAGTGTGCCATGTGGTGACGTCCGTCAAGATGCCTGACAAGAACGAAAGAGAATGTGGGGGTGGTAATTATCCAATAAAATAAATAAATAAAAATATCATTGATTAGACTCAAAGTCGATCCTCGAGTTTATTCAAGATGTCCTCTGAAAGTACTGCCTCGTCTGGCCGTCTGACACGATGCCTGCTGCATGCGCGGAGACCTCAAAAACGATAATTAGGAAAACGGAGGGAATGTGTTGAGACTACACGACACGAGACGAGACGAGCTGATTCGACGGCTAAGGAGAACGCACGTATAGAATAACCGTCGGCTAAGGAGAAAAGGGAGGATGAATGCGGATTGTCTTCACGCTGATCGAATTCGGGAATCAATAAAGACCTTAACACGACGCTACGAAAAGTCCTGTTGCTACAGGACATGACGTGAACAGTGTCACAGGATTCTTAACAAAGAAGGTTATTCGGAATCTAACAAATGTAACGCACTACTGGTGCTAGTCGTAATCAGGAAGAGCTGTGATTGCAAACCGACCGACCTACCGGGCAAATCCTCCGGATAAACGCTGCAGATCCCGTCTTCGAACCCCAGCGTTGGAATAAACTCCCCCACCCGTGGGTGCTGCTGCCGGCGAGGCTTCTGGACACGTGGCTTGCTACCGACACCCCCTGCAATATTCTCTTTCCCTCGGCTGGCTTGCCTCTTAACGCCGGGCTTTAGAGTCTGTTCATCGTCGTCTATGCTAGCGTGCTCCTCGTCAAGCTTCGCTAAGAGATGATCCAATAACTGTACATCTGTCGGCTCGAAGCGTACCCCGGCTGGAAATCCGGCCCAATCGAAAAACGGCTGTGACGTTGCCATTTATAATTCTTAACGAAACCAGCTGAATCTGTGTACTGGAATATAAAAACACCAGGAATAAGTCGAAATACATAAGACTGGTGGGGGCATTAGACCCAGTTTAACGGGTCTATTTTTAGCTAAACAAACGGCGGAAAAAGCCGAGAGAGAAAAAAACTAGACAGCCACCTTTTTCTTCTAGGATTCGCACTCAAGAAAACCTCGAGTTATGGGAGCTAGACGAATTCAAGTTCGTTTTACCCATCAGCCATGGCTGCCATCAAGAAGCTTGCTGTGCTAACTCCCTCTCTTGAAACCCTCGTCGCGTCTTTCTGACGACACCAGATCCATCAGAATTCCTCGCGCGCTACAGTAATCTCGACTCCTCGCTTCCGCTGGTTTACCGCTTAGCCATAGGCGGACCTCCGCCAAACCTACGGGACACCACCACCACCAACTGAACGACGGCTGCGCCAAACACTCCGCGCCGAGCCAAATGCGCGTCACCCAAACCGCCACGCCCCAGTCAGTTCCACTTTCGTCCCAGAGTTTCCGCTTCCGCGGTCCTGCGTTCTCCGCGCGCTGCACAGCGTCTGCTTGACGAAACGAAACCCTGGGTATATGCTGTTCTGACTGGTTGTTCCTATAAGCTGTATAAGTACAGCGCAATTGGAGAGTATATACATGTTTGCACTCACTCAGCCATCTCTCCCTCATGTTACTGCAGGAAGAATAAATGTTGCCGTTCATACCATGAACACAAATGTTTCTAGAATTTCCAATTTTAAGACAATTTCTGACCTCATATGGTCCAGGACGGGGCAACAAAAAATTGGGGATACGAAGAAAAAACTTATGCTGTAAGTCTAGTGCCATTGCCACTACAGATGTCCCACAAAATGTTTCAGCACCCGAATTGTAGCGAGGAATAAGAGGGTGCCTGCATCGTACCCCAGAAAAAACTCGGGGACTTCTCATAGCAGTGCGTTTTGTGTCCCTTCCGCATTTTGCCGCATTTTGTTGAGCTTCCCGCCGAACCTGCAACAACATCCTTCGCTCCTACAACATTCCTCTCGATAGTCGCTCCGCTCGTCCTTCCGAACATTGCTCAGCATTTTTGAAAGACGAGGCATCTGCTTAGCGTTCGGTCCGGTCGGCTTATTTCGTAGTGTTTTATAACCGTCGCCAAACCCTAACATGGCGGGTTCAAGCGACGACCACCATCACCGAAAGCGGCACATGGAGGTACGCACGCTGTCGCGGTCGCTTTAGCTGTCGCAGTAGCTGTAGCTATCACAATCGCTATCGCAGGCAGTCGTTGGGGCAGTCTGCAGATGGTTGGTGGCTCCTCCTTCCTTTGGAGGTACGCACACAGTTGCACATTTTAATGGTTCTCCTTTGCCGGGTTTTGGGTTGCGATCTGTGTCCGCATTTAATGGAAAGTGAGATAAATAGAAACCAGCATCTTACATGTTTCCAGAGACGAAACTAGATAGGTTCAGAGTTGACTTAAAAAATAAAAGAAAAAGAAGAATGTCCTGTGTCTTTTCCTTTGGTCTCGCCCATCCCTACTTTTCCAAGCAAACAACCCCTGAAACCTCATTTGTCCTTGCTATTGTGGTACTCACTAAGATCTACATCCGAAAGTTGCCCCCCTCCCGCTACCATACTCCCCATTCCCCATTCCCTGTTTTGCATTCCCATTCCTCATTCCACATCCCCCATCCTCATTCCCCATTCCCCATCCCGTTCCCCATTTCCCATCCCCATTTCCCATTCCCCATTCCCCATTTCCCACCCCCATTCCTCATTTCCTTACCCATTCCCCATCCCCCATCCCATTCCCCATTTCCCATTTCCCATATCCATTCCCCACTTCCCATCCCGGTTCGTCCCTATCCCCATCCCCATCCCCAATGTCCCATTCCCCATCCGCTTTCCCCTCATTCTCCTTCCGCTTCCCCCATTTTCCGTCCCCCTCTTCTCTTCCCCCATACCCGTCACCACTCCCTTTGATCCCCGCTTCCCCCGTCTCCCCCCCCCCCCCCCCCCCACGCCCCCCCCCCCATTCTTGTCCCACCCCCCGCATGTCCCTTGCCCCTGGCTTCCCCCCACCCCCATCCCGCTCCCCCTCACCCCCCTTCCTTGCCCGGCACACAACCCACGCCATCGCCCTGTGTTTTCTTCGGCTCACGGGGCCCCTTCGACCCCCACCCCACCCTGCTCGCGTGCACCGACCACGGCCCATGCCCCACTCCCCACTCCCCGGGTCCCCCACTTCCCTCCTCTCCTCTCCCCACCCGGCCCATGCCCCACTCCCCTCCTCGCGTGCTCGCACGCATGGGGTTGATTGAATGCCCCCTACCCCTTCGCCTCGCCGGTTGGGGGTTCCACCCTCCCTCCCACGCCGTTGCACACGCGCAGGAGTTCAGTGGCGCGCAGAACACTGGTGTGTGTGAGTGTGTGAGTGTGTGAGTGAGTGTGTGAGTGAGTGTGCAAAAGAGAGTGTGCGTGTGAGTCTGAGGGAGGGAGGGGTGTGCGTGTGTCTGTGTGTCTGTGTGAGAGGGAGAGAGGGGCGGGAGTATGTGGGGAGAGAGAGGGTGGGGAGAGAGAGGGGTGGGAGTATGTGCAGTGGGGTGCGAGTATGAGCAGTGGGTTGCGTGCGAGTATGACAGAGTGACTAAACGCACTGGTTAGCTCCTCCCCCTCAAGGCTGGCTCACCACATGCTCCTTGCCCTCGTGAATGTCCCCCATCTCCCTCCCCCCCCCCCCTTCCCCCCCAACTAAACACCAATAATCCACCTCTCCCCATCCCTTTCCCACTATCCCCCTTCGATCCCACCTTTCCCCCACTCTCCCCCCCCCTTTTTTTTCTCCGCCTTTCCCCTACTCTCCCCCGATTTTCTGAGGCGACCCCAACCGTTCTCATCCCCCGCGATTGTCACATTGTCTTATTACCTTTCCGTCAACCCCCCTTCGCAACTGTCCCACAGTCACATCATTCCCACTATGCGCTCTCTCATCACATCCATCCATCCCCCTCTCTCTGTGCTACCCAATCTGGCTAGCTGCCTGCATCTCGTCTTGTGACTTTCCTTTAGCGTGTTTCAAAGAAACGTTCGAATAAAATCGCTCAAGGTTAAGGGTTCAGGGTTTAGGTTGCTGGAATTCTAACCTCCCGCTTCTTAAACTCCGGTCGCTTTCCCCGTATGTCACCCTCACCTCACCTGCGTTCCCTCTCCCTCTCCTCCTCTCTCCAGTGGTATTTCGCATGTTGGTGCATGCGAGTCGAGCCGGGGGGGTGATAGACAAGGAAGAGGGAGCGGTAGAGGCTCCCCTCCTGCATCCTCCTCACACAGTCCCCTGTCTCCTCCCTCTTATCACTCCCCTCTCCTCCTCTCCCCACCCCAGTGGTATTTCGCCTGTTGGTGCATGAGAGCCGGGCCTAGGAGGGGGTCGGTGGTGGGGGGTTTGATCAGCAAGCAGGGGGCATTGCCGCATTGGAGTAGACCACTAATCTGCATGCATCCTCCCCACACAATCCTGTCTCTTTCCCCTTGTTTTGAGTCGACTCAATACACGACTCATTACACGTGGTGGGGGGTTGATCAGCAAGCAGGGGGCATTGGAGTAGACCACTAACCTGCATGCCCACACAATCCCGTCTCTTTTCCCTGGTTGCTCCTCTCTCTCCCTCTCGCACTCTCGCTCTCCGCATCTCTCCTTGTCCTCTCCCCAGTGGTGTTTCGCCTGCTGGTGCATGAGAGCCGGGCCGGAGGGGTGATTGGCAAGCAGGGCAGCAAGATCAAGCAGATGCGGGAGAGCACAGGGGCAAGGATTCGCATGTGCTCCGTTCCTCCTACCATTGTAAGCATGACACACTGTTGAGTTGAGTCGACTCACATCACACGCACGTTGATCACAGGAGCAAGGATTCGAATGTGCTCCGTTCCTCCTACCATTGTAAGTCCTAAGCACGCACGGTCCGTCCGTGTGATGATTGGGATGGTTGGATTCACTTTTTGCAAGTTCTCAAACGTGAATCCAGTGTACTTTCTATGTGATGATCTGGTCTGGTCTGGTCTGGCTGGCTGGGCATTTCCAACGCCGTTTTGCGGCGTCTTAAAACTCGACTGATTTGTTATCGCAGTGCCATTTCACCTTAGCGTCCTCCTCCTCCCCATTCCTCCTCCCTCCCTTCGTTTCCATTCTTCGTCACTCTACTGCTGGCCCCGATCCTTTCACTCCCCTCTTCCCCTCCCCCTCCTCCTCCCCGTCCCCCTTCCCCTCCCACTCCCACTCCCACTCCCACTCCACCAGCCATCAGAGGAGCGGCTGCTAGTCATCTCCTCGCCCCCGTCGTCCTCGTCGGACCCCTCACCAGCGGAGACGGCTCTCTTCGCCATGTTCCCTGCTGCGCTGCTGCCGCAGGTACGTCTTAGTGTCAGGTGGTCTTCTCGCCCCTCTCCTCCTCGTCCGACCCCTCACCAGCGGAGACGGCTCTCTTCGCCATGTTCCCTGCTGCGCTGCTGCCGCAGGTGCGTGCTGAAACGAACAGAGAGAGCAATGGTTAGTAACAACAACACGCCATCGTGTCTCCTCACCAACCTCCTCCTAATCGACCCCTCACCAGCAGAGACGGCTCTCTTCGCCATGTTCCCTGCTGCGCTGCTGCCACAGGTACGCCTTGCGAAGAACAGAAAGAGCAATGGTTAGTAACAGCAGCAACCGCTATCGTGTCACCTCGTTCGTTCCTTCCGCCTCGTCTGAACCATCATCAGCAAAGACTGCTCTCTTCGCCATGTTTCCTGCCGCGCTGCTGCCACTGCTCTCTCCGTTTCCCATGTCCACTGTAGCACTGCTGCCACGGTTAGGGCTCTTTCCACTTGTACATTTCTTAGAAATAAATTCTTTGCAATTATCTTTGCTGAGAAACTTATCTTTGGATGACCGTCCTCCAACTCTCCAACCTCCTTCCCTCTGGTCATCATCCCAACCAAAATCGCTAGCAACAGCAGACGCAGACGAGTCGAGCCAATCTGTCCTGAACCCTCGGCTGCTCTTCCACCTCCCCATCATGTCACCCTTTCTCTTCCCCCATGCAGGACGCTCATCACTCCAACCGGAACCCGCCAGCATCAGCAGCAGGGGGGGACGAGTCGAGCCGATCGGCCTGAAACTTGCTAATGCCCGCGTAGCGCTCCCCCATTTCGACCCAAGCAGGACGGTCCTCATCCCAACCAGAACCGCCAGCAGCAGCAGCAGAGGGCAGACGAGTCGAGCCGATCAGTCTGAAACCAGCTCGTGCCTTGTTCAACTCTCCTCACTGTGACTTCCCCTCTCCCTCTCCCTCTCCCCTCTCCCCCCAACCCAAGCAGGGCGGTCCTCACCCCAACCAGAACCGCCAGCAGCAGCAGCAGAGGGCAGACGAGTCGAGCCGATCAGTCTGAAACCAGCTCGTGCCTTGTTCAACTCTCCTCACTGTGACTTCCCCTCTCCCTCTCCCTCTCCCCTCTCCCCTCTCCCCCCAAACCAAGCAGGACGGTCCTCACCCCAACCAGAACCGCCAGCAGCAGCAGCAGAGGGCAGACGAGTCGAGCCGATCAGTCTGAAACCAGCTCGTGCCTTGTTCAACTCTCCTCACTGTGACTTCCCCTCTCCCTCTCCCTCTCCCCTCTCCCCCCAACCCAAGCAGGGCGTGTGAAGATTGTGAATTGAACAAGTTACTTCATTAGGGGAGAAACCTAGCATACATAGTTGGAAGAGAAGGTTGGAAGAGAAGGGTGAAGGTGACCAAAGGTTGGGTTGACCTCACTTGGGGGAGTGAGGCCACCATAGGTCAAGTGGGTTGGGTTGCCCACACTTTGTAGAAGTGAGGCAACCCTAGGCCCACTTGGCTTGAGGTGACCTCACTTGTGGAAGTGAGGCACCCACAAGTCAAGTGGGTTGCATTTGGGGGCTCCACCACAATTGGGTGGATTGGCACCCCAAAGTGCAAGACTACACCCAAAGTTGGGTGTAGTCCCAACCCAACTGTACACCACAATTGGTGTACAGTCACATGTGTTGGCATGCTACACAATATATATTTTAACACAACCCCTTAGCATGCTAACACGAGAAGAGAACAACCCCTGAATCAAGGGGCGCCCGGGCGAGCGAGGCCAATGAGGCGGAGGAAGGCAGAGTGCGCAGGGCGAAGGAGGGCCTTAGTGAAGATGTCGGCCAAGTTGGCCTCGGTCGCAATCTTGCGAACTGCAATAAGGCCCTTCTGGACGAGCTCGCGAACGGAAAAGTAGCGGAGCTCGATGTGCTTAGAGCGGGCGTGATAGACGGGGTCCTGAGTGAGATGGATGGTGCTGGCACTGTCGCACCAGAGAGTGGGGCACGCCTGGGGGGCGCCAAGCTCTGCAAGAAGGAAGCAGAGCCAGTGTGACTCCTGGGCGGCCATGGTGCCAGCGTAGAGCTCGGCCTCGCAGGTGGAGAGAGAGATGGCGGAGGAGCGGGTGGAGCGCCAGCTGATGAGGCCGCTGCCAAGGGTGAAGCCGTAGCCCTGGGAGGAGCGGCGGTCCGGCTGCGTGTCAGCCCAAGAGGAGTCACTGAAGCCTGAGAGAAGAGGAGGGGAAGGGCCACCAAGGGTGAGGGCAAGGTCCTTGGTCCCGCGAAGGTAGCGGAGAACCCGCTTGGCAGCTTTCCAGTGCTCCTCCGTGTGACGACCGGTGCCGACAAAGCGAGCGAGCACGCTGATGGGGTAGGCGAGGTCGGGGCGGGTGCACATCATCGCGTACATCAGGGACCCGACGAGCTCTGCGTAGGGGTGGGGGGAGGAGGTGGGCGAGGTAGGTGGAGCGAGTTGGTGGCCGAAAGGGAGGGGAGTGGAGACAGGCTTTGCCTGCGCCATGTCGAACTTCTCCAAGACCTGGCCGATGTAGTGGGACTGTGAGAGGGTGATGGTGCGAGCAGAGCGGTTGCGCGTGATGGCCATGCCCAGGTAGTGAGTGAGAGCGCCAAGGTCTTTGCACTTGAGACGCTGCTGCAGGGACAGCTTCATCTGCTCCATGTCGGCCCTGGTGTCAGAGAGTAGGATCATGTCGTCCACATATACCAGAATGAAGAAGCGGCGGGGGGAGGAGCGGAGGAAGAGGCTGGCGTCGGAGTGGGAAGCAGAGAAGCCGAGAGACCCTAAGGTGGCAGCCAGCTTCGCATGCCACTCACGCGGTGCCTGCTTCAAGCCGTAGACAGGGCGACGCAGCTGCCAGACAGTGTTCGCAGGGAAGGCTGCGTGGAACCCGGGGGGTCGCCGGAGGAAAATGCGCTCGTGCAGGTCACCCTGCAGGAACGCGTTGGAGACATCCATGGAATCGATCTCCATGTTGACACGTGCGCCAATGTCGAGGGCGGCGCGAAGGGTGGGTGGTTTGGCGGTGGGGGCGTAGGTGAACCAGTAGTCCTCCGCCCAAGTCTGCGTGAACCCATTGGCGCAGTAGCGTGCCTTGTACACCGGGTCCTCGCCCGGCAGCTGCTTCACCCGAAAGACCCATTTGCCGTCAACGAGGTTGGCGCCGGCTGGGAGGGGGACGTCGACAAAGGAGTCGTTGCGAATGAAAGCCTCACACTCCAGGAAGATCGCCGCTATCCATTTATCCGCGTCGGGGCAGGTGATGGCTTCCTGGAAGGTGGAGGGAGTGAAGATGGTGGGGGTGGTGGTGGCGCCAAGGACGGGAAAACCCAGGAAGTCAAGGTAGAGGGAGGCAAGGAACGGAGTGTGCGCCCGAATGTTGAGAAACTCCTCATGGGAGTCCTCAAGGAGCTGAATGGAGGCAGGAGGAGGAGCCCCAAGGATTCTGTCCACAGAGCGGGTATGGATGTAAGGGAGGAGGAAGGGGGAGGAGCGGGAAGTGGCACGGCGCTGCTGCTGCTGCCGGTGCTGCTGAAGCTGCTGCCCCTGTTGCTGCGGCTGCTGCGGACCGTGCTGCTGCTGTGTCTGCTGCGGCTGTTGCTGCTGCTGCTGCTGCCGCTGCTGTCCCGGTTGCTGCTGCTGCTGCTGCTGCCCCGGTTGCTGCCGCTGCTGCTGCTGCTGCTGCTGTTGCTGCTGCTGCTGCTGCTGCTGCTGCTGCTGCTGCTGCTGCTGCTGCTGCTGCTGCTGCTGCTGCTGCTGCTGCTGCTGCTGCTGCCCCGGCTGCTGCTGCTGCTGTTGCTGCTGCTGATCCGGCTGCTGGAAGGAGGGAGAGTGAGAGGACGAGGGAGAGGGGGGGGGGGGGTGCAGCCGAGTGAGCGGGGGAGGCGGGTGCGGCAGGGTCGTAGACGTCGGCGGAGGAGGAGGGCGGGAGCGGGGCGGCGACGGGTGGGAGAAGGGGGGCTGGAGGAAGAAGGGGCGGGAGGACGGTGTCGGTCCAAGCGAGGGGGCGAGTGGGAGGGGGGAGAGGGTCTGGAGGAGGAGTGGAGTAGTAGGGAGTGGATTCGTCGAAGACGACGTCAATGCTGCGGATGAGGCGATTGGTGGGAGGGTGGAGGAATAGGTAGCCTGGGGAATCGCGATTGTGCCCCAGGTAGACGCACTCCAGAGCGCGAGGGGCGAGCTTGCCAGCAGCGCGGGAGCGAGTGGCCGGTGGAATGAGGACGAACGCCTTGCAGCCCCAAACACGAAGGCCGGCGGCGTCAGGCTTGGCCTTGGACCAGAGTTCTGTGGGGGAGGAGGAGGGATGCTGAGGGTGGGAGCGGAGATTGAGGAGGAGGGCGGCATGGAGGAGGGCATAGCTCCAGAGGGAGGGAGGGGTGGAGGCGTGAGCAATGAGACAACGAGCGATCTTGGTGATCTCGCGAATGCGACTGTCAGCAATGCCATTTTGCTGAGGGGAGTGGGGGAGGGTGGAGGTTTGCTGAATGCCGTATGTTTTGCAGTAGGTGGAGAGTGTGTGATTAATGAACTCACCCCCACCATCAGAGTGAAGGCGGCCAATGGGGCGTTTGAAGTGAGTGCGGCACAGCTCAGCCCAGTCGATGACCACGGCCGACACCTGGTCTTTCGTGTGAAGAAAGAAGGTGGTGGAGTACCGGCTGTGGTCGTCAACGAGGACGAGCATGTACCTGTGCCCCTGTCGGGAGCGGATGGGATAGGGGCCCCAGAGATCCATGTGAACATGGTCAATGGGTGCGGCTGCGAAGGTGGGATGACTGTGATGGGGTGACTGTTTGAGTTTGCCATGGATGCAGGAGGGGCAGGGGGGAGCAGGGGAGGAGGGGAGGGGAGGTAAGGTGGGAGGAAGGCTGTTGAGGAGGCGAGAGGCGACGGTGGTGCGAAGTGCGGCGAAGTTGGGATGACCGAGACGGTGATGCAGGAGAACGGCAGGGTGGGAGAGGACAGTAGAGGAGGAGGGAGATGGAGTGAGGGAGGTGGCGGGGGAGGGAGAGGGGGAAGGTGGAGTGGGGGG